AGAGAGAGAGAGGGGAAGAGAGAGAGAGGGGAAGAGAGAGAGAGGGGAAGAGAGAGAGAGGGGAAGAGAGAGAGAGAGAGGGAGAGAGGAAGGGAGGTAGGAATTGTCACAAGCGGCTTCTGAAGCGAAATTTCGTTCTGGTCGAGCCACCTGGGTGATGTTTTCGCGAATGCAAACTACATGTCGCTGTCCTCCACCCAACCTGCAGGTGTCCTGTACCTCTCCCACTGGCGCTCTTGGCCGAGGGAGCGGAAAACTGGAGAAAGGTTCCAACCTGGAGGTCTGAAGACCTTGCTCACAGAGCTAGTTCCCAACGGTTCGGCGCTCTCCGTGAAAGATGCTTGTCCTCAGATTTGGCGTTGTTGTTCAGTTGTTCAATTTTTGGGAACATATTTTCTTTTCGAAAGCAATTCGCAGTCTTCCAATCATCATCTCTCAACTATTTGGTTTGCAATAAAGTGGGGCATGTGTGCAACCTTCAAAACTCCGGTAATTGTAAAGTAGTCTTTGGCCGCCGTCGGTTTTGAAAAAGATTGAAAACATGAGGTAAGCGATGGGACCTTTGTGATTTGCAAGTGTTGTGTTGCATTTAATTGCATGCTGCTCGTGAGATTTGGGCTTGCCTTTCATTTGGATTTGTCACTGCTACAGCTTAGGGGTTGCTGAGATAGCGACAACACGCAGACAAGAGCAAAAAGATTGGCAGGCAAGCGCTCAGTCACCAACCCCATCTGAAGCAGACAGAAGCACCTGCTATTGTTTCATGTCACAGCACGTTTGTCTCAAAAAACATTTATAAACTGAATTTAGCGATGCCCCTAGCGATGCCTTAGCGATACCCCAAGCGATGCCCGAACATGTCCCAGATAGACAGTGGCCCACCTGACCAACTTCAAGAGATTCTCCTCCAGGCCACGTGTAACATTTTGAGAACCGCTACCATGAGCCTTGAAGCGTAGCTGACAGAATTAGTTGGTAGAGATCATTGGAAGCAGCTGTACTCAACGGCCAAAAGGATAATTATGCACAGGGTCTCGTGCCCGTGACTTTGATGACTGCATCTAATATGTATTAGCGATACCCCCCAAGACTTCGGAATGGTAGATTTGGCCAAAACTGTGGTAAGCGATGGGACCTTCCCAAATTTGTTGATGGTAGCAAGTCGCACATGTGAAGGTGTGCAGTGGTGCTGAACAACTCAGGCCTCTGGTAGATGTGATCCGAAAACTGCGCTTGTGGACGCAGCTTTGGGTGCATCTCAGCACAGTGACCTGAATTTGCGCACTGATCTTATGTGGGAGAGGGTCTTCTTGACAGTTTCCAGTTGGACTCTGCATGACTCTGCGTCTTGAAATGTCCACCATGTCGATTTTAGAGGTGTTCTGTCGTCAACGTGGAAGGCCTTTGGGTCGGGACAGTAATCTTGTGGTCAATGTAAGTACGCCCAGAGCAATGCCAGCAAGATTAGTGGGGGAAGCAGTGGGCAATGCAAAAATGTCTGGATGCCGCTGGGTTCACCAATACTTTTCCCCCGATGGCATATGCTAACAACGCACAGGCCCCAGTAGGAGTACACAAAACCCCCCCAGCCACCAACTTGACCAGGTGGCGACATGCCATCAATTCATGACCCCCTATAGTTGAAACTGGTGGGTTAAACATGGTGCCAAAATAACCATCGGCAAGGAACTATTGAAAAACAAGCAGGTCATTTCTTCGGCATGTGGGTGGTTTTTGGACCAAACTCCGACCGTTGAACACGGCCTATGCCGATGGTGAGCGCGAACAAATCTTCCAGGACGTTCCTTTCGTAGCGGCCCGTTACGTGACGACCCAAAGTCCATTGGAGCCACAAACTTTTTAACCATCTTGGCCCATCACTTTGGCAACCCATCGATGGTTCTTTTGGGGATGATCATGAAACATCACCATCTGTTGGCCAGGACATTATCGTGTGGGCGCCTACCTGGCTGAAACCTGCTGCACAAAGCCCAAGGAGAAAACGTTGGCTGAAAAGGTTGTGAAACTTCATCGTTTGGCAGGTTTTCCAAAAAGGTGCAAACACTAAGCACTTAGTTAATTTGACAGTTGCGCTGGGTGAAATTGTTCACAGTCGTTGAAGGAGGCTGCTTTCATGGCTGGGCTCACCGAGTGTTTGCAGATGGGCGCTTTGAAATTGCACGCAACTACACTTCACAGTGGGGAAAACTGACGCGCTTTTGTGTTTGTTTGGCTGCTGGGTCATTTGGGATTATGATTTGGTTTCCATGACGGCATTTTTTGGTTCAGACGTGTCTTCTGAACTTCAGGGATCTTTCAGAAAGAGGCCCATGGGCCTGGTAAACCATGATGCCTCACGGGACTTTTCACTGAAGCATTAGCATTACAAAGCACAGCTGACACTGCCTTCACAAGAGTCTCAATTTCGTAGCTTCGTCAACCAGCAGCATTCCTCCGTTTGCCGCTCATGGCGCAAAAAAAACTTCGGTCACTTGTGAAGAGATGATGAAGGTCCTGGCAGAGGGGATGATGGAACTCGGTTGCTCCGAGCAACATGCCGGTATGGCAGGCCACTTTCTGACTGAAAGGGTTTTTGCTGCAATGGAAGAAAAAGAGAAGAAGACGGTCGAAGAAAATCAGAAGAAGACACCTGACGAGAGCGAAAGGAAAAAGAAGAGAAGGTCTGGGCGCTCTAGATGGGCAACTTGGAGCAAGCGAAGGCAGAAGACAGCAGATGTTGAAGTTCCGAACGCAGAGACCAAGAAAAGAAAACCAAAGGACTAGAGCTATCGGTGCTTCAGCTCCTCGGGGATTTAGCCATCTCAAAAGAACTTGGCGGGTGATTCTTCCTGGGGCCAGTTGATGGGGCCCTGGTTCTGGGTAC